TACCTTAAATCTTCTTTGTTAAGTTTTACAAAAACACTCTAAAGACTTTGACAAAATACAGTAACAAGGGATGTTACGCAAAGTATTCACTGTTATTAGTCTCTCTAGTTAGTTGGTCTTGTAAAAGAAATCAAACCAACATAACAATATATATGAAATATATAATAATTAGTATATGTAGGATTTTATAAGACACTCTTTCTAATGATTACTCATACTAAAATTTCTTAACTAATTTTTTTAAAAATATACAATAAACTTTGTAAAAATATAAGAGTGACAAAGCAAAGAAGTATAAGTTAGCACCTGTTATTTAGAGATAGTTCTCATACACTATCTGCTAATAGGTTCAGAGTTTATTACTTATTACAATATTAAAGTGATATTTGTTATTTAGAAATAGTTTTTATATACTACTTGTCAACAAGCTTAGAGTTTATTACTCATCTACAAGGATAAGTATTAGCTATACTCTAGGTGAATATAAGTAAATAGTAGATTTTAAAAAATATATACACTCTTTAAAAATTTTAGTACTATTATTATTCTTCTTTTGATTCTTTAGATTTCTTATTATCAAAAATTAAAAAAGTAGAGAATTTGATAAACTTCTAACAAAGGATCTGTAAGTTTGTATTACTTTTTAATTTGACAAGTTATCTGTTGATATACAACTTAAACAAGATAACAAATATATATATTATTATTACATAGATGATCTAATCAGAATTTAACTTCTAAACAAGTTTAAAATTAGAGATATATATTCTTATTTTTGTATAGCATAATATTTTTATATTTTGTTACACTCTTTTTTTTTTTATATTAAAAAGAGTGTTTATTTCTTTTTCTTTTTTCTTTATCTTTTTACTTATAAGAGTTTTTTAATCTGGTAGTGAATTTTTCTTTTATAAGCTTAGTTCATATAATTAGTTATATTTTATTATATACAACAATTTTTATTTTTAACTTAAACTAAGTATTAATAGTTTGTAATTTAGTTTTGATTAGATTAGAAACAATCTAGAACCTTGATAAAGTACAAAAAAACTTATTGTTAATTTAAAAAAACTACTCTACTTAGGTAAAACATCTTTTAGAAAAATAAATACTTTTTGCAGTAGATCACATCTGAATAGTACAAAACAAGCTAAATAAATCTGAGATTACAAGAGTAGGATATATTATTAGTTTAGAATATTAGTTTTTTTTTTATTTTTGTATTATGATTTTTTTATAAAATCTTCCACTAATAAACTAAGAGTAAAATTATTTAAGTTAAAAAAAAAAAATAATAATTAGTATACATGTATATACTATATATATGATAAATAATAAAAATGTTTCAAAAACTATAAGTAATAGATGCATTATATATAATGAATCTCTCACAGTAGTCATCAGCTAATCAGATTATACAAATTATAATAAAAAGCAGATATATATAACTTGACTACCTTAGCTAAATACTTGATTAATAATCTTCTTTATTATTTTATTTGATATTACTATTTATTCGAGCAATAGTAATCTTATTTTAATACCTTTAATATACTTTAAATATTTCTTTTACTTGATTAAAAATACTTGAATTTTGATTTTTATTTAAATTTTTATTTTATTATAATTTTCAAAACTTAGAATTTTTAGTGAAAATTTTCAAAACCTGATAAAAATATACTAAATTTTTTAAACAATTTTTAAATTATTTTAAACTCAGAATTATTTTTTTTTCTCTAAACAATTCTTAAACAATTTTAGAAACAGATTTATTTTTTAAATATTTTTTTTTAAAAAAAAAAAAACTTTATTTTTATTTTAAATTAAAAGTTTAACAAATAACTTTTAAAAATTTTATTTTTTATTAAATAATTTTCTTTATTATAATTTTGAAAAAATGTGTTTGTCGCCGCCGGTGATAATTGCCGGTCACGTGACCACGTATATGTAATAATTTTTTTGCCTAAGGCAACTACGTATATTATATTGATATTGATATCTGGTATGTACGTATATATCGCATAATAACACAACCTGCAGGACTTGCATAGCTATGCTTGCTATAGACAGTAGGGCGTAACATAGTATAAACAAGTAAATATTTGCTACTTATTTATACTTTGTCCCTATAACAAATAACAAATAAGCTTATTTATACTTTGTCGCTATAACAAATAACAATAAGTGATTGTTGTTTTTAGAGTTCTTGCACCATATATACGTACGTACCAAAGTAGAAATTCAGAAATTTGTTTTTAAGCAAGGTATTGTATCTCGGTTTTAAGATTCTTTTGCATAGAGCTAGCTTTAATGCCTTATTTATACAACTACAGGAAATTGAACAATTAGAAGGCCACTACAAAAAAAAATCACAAGCAAGTGAGACCAAAGCAAGCGCAAGGCAAAACCAAAACAAGAGCAAAGCGAAACTAAAGCAAAAGCAAAGCAAGACCAGAGCAAGAGTAAGGTGAAGCCAAACAAAAGCAAGGCAAAATCAAAGCAATCACGATAAAATAGTACCTACCAGTGACAAAAGAATATTGATATCTAATAATATGCCTAGTAATGACGAAATACTGCCTAGTAACGATGAAACACTGCCTAGTAACGACAAAACACTGCCTAGTAACGACGAAACACTGCCTAGTAATGACGAAATACTGCCTAGTAACAACGAAACACTACCTAGTAATAATAAAATCATGCTGTCTAGTAATGATACAGTGCTTTCTAATAATAATCTACAGTCAATTACCAACACAAAGTACTATATCTTAGTTTTTTATTACTGTATTTTCTGAATGATATTATTGAACCATTTTTTAGTTTCCTTGTTTGAAGAGTATCTAAAGCGAATTGATTAAAATTAGGGTTAGGGTTTTTACAAAGGCAGGGTTAGCATATGGTATAGTAAAATTGTACACCAACATTTTATTAGTGCCCCCAAGATAGTTAGTCATATAGATCTCCCAAATAAAGAAAGTGAAAAACAGTTCTCATTTATTTCTGTTAAACTCAAATTCTTTCATTTCAGCTTTCTTACTTTAAAATGGTTTAAATTTTAGTTCTTTCTCTCAACAAACCATAGCTTCACCTTTTGTTAGACAAGTCTTTAAAATATGGGAAGATTTTGATAAATATCTCCAGGAATACGCCTGGTAAAAAAATTTTGTAGTCATTAAAATTAGAAATAAACGAGCTCCCTTACCAGACCAAACATACAGGTGACGCACTTATGCATGTGATCGTCAGGGTACTTATGAACCTAGAAAAACTGTGATCTTAGAAAATCAGTGAAATAGCAAATCAAAACGTACTGGGTGCCTTTGGCATGTTAATGCAACCTTTCCAAAAAAGGCTACAACGATTAGTATAACATCTCTGAACATTAATCATAATCACCTACTTGACCCTGAGACTAATTTGTATGCAGTCAAAAATCGAATATTGCCCAAAGCTGTTGAACGAAAAGTTTGCTTTTACATGGCTGAAGGAAACCTTAATGCAATGATTCAACGTAGACTTCTTTCTGCTAAGTTTCCTGATGTCACAATATATCTACGTGATCTACAAAACTTAATTCAAAAATATAAAATAGCAAACCGGGAAGAAAATGATGCTTCAAAACTTCTAAAACAGTTACTTAACAAAAAAACAGAGGAACTGGGGTGGGAAGTATTATGGGAGATTCATCCTGAAACAAAAAGCCTGGATAAAGTATTTTGGATGTCACCAAAGCAAGTCCAATTGTGGATTACTTACCATGATGTTATATTGAATGATAATACACATAAAACCAACCAATTTAACATGCCGCTTTCCCTATTTATAGCAGTTGATAATCATTTTCGCACCTATCTTGTAGTACAAGCATTGGTTAATGATGAAACCAAAGAAACTTATGAGTAGCTTCTTACCTCAACTTTACAAGCTACAAATTACACCCTCTGAGTTTTCATTACTGATGCTGATCTCAGAATAGACGCTGCTATAGACATTCAATATAGTGATGCTTATCCGCTTCATTGTATATATCATATATCCCAAAATCTTATACGCAACCTCAAGGCCTCCCTTGGTAGTTTCTTTAATGATTTCATTAAAGATTTTTATTTGTGCTGAAATGATCTTTCCCCTGCTAGGTTTGACGTCCAATAGCAAAAACTTATTACTACGTACCTCAAGGCGGCAATTTACCTTAATTCTGAGCTCTATTCTAATAAAGAAAGATGGGCCAAAGCATACACAAATAAATTTTTTACAGCTGGCATTTCATCTACGTCACGCGTTGAAAGTAAAAATGCTACAATAAAAAAAGTTCTTCAAGGCCATCCTAGCCTTTGTGAACTTGCCACTATTTTGGACTTGCGGTTAAGTGATGAAGCACGATATGTTAACTATAATGAATAGTACTATGCAAATGCAAGTGCACAATTGAGGGGTGCTTCTGCTGAATGTTTTCCTGAAGTTGACTGCATTCTCAAGGAACATCTTACTGAAGAAATGCTTTCTCGACAAAGGCATGAAATTACACAATCACTTTACTATTATACGGTAATAGAAGACGAAGAATTACCTAATAAAAAGCACACTGAGGAAAGCTATGATACACAACAAATTCACTTGACCTCTCTTCTGGAGGATCTCCCTCCAAATGACATTGTCAAAGTATACAAAATTCAACAATATCATTGTGTTCACGTTAATTATGTTATTATTCTTGTCGACTATTCCCATTTATGCACATGCATGCTACTTGTTAATTCTGGCTTGGTTTGTCGGCATTTTTGGCATATATTTGCCATCGATAGTAAAGTTTTTTTTCATATAACCCTTATTCCTAGACGTTGGTATAGTAATGAAAAAATGCAAGACTTAAATTTAGATGAACAACTCTACATCATAAATACTGGCTTAGCACCTTCTAATGAAGGTAGCTTACCTTGTCCTGCACTTTTTCCAATGCACCTAATTGCTAGAATTCATGGTAATAATGTTTTAGCCCAGAAGTTCGCCGTGCTGTTCAAAAACGGCATGATTATAGGGAAACTTTTAACCTCGCTTGAAAGGCTGTTCAATCTGCAGTTGAGACGAGTGGTGAATCTCTTTGTCGACTTAAAAGAAGCCTCAATGACTGGTTTGCTAAGAACAAAGATTGACTCAGATTAACAATAATAATAAAGAAAATCTTGATCCTGAACAAGTTAAAAATCCAATTGAAAGACAACATAAAGGACGACCTTCAGTTAAATGGTTTAAGAGTAGTATTGAACAAGTCAGAAGCAAAAAACCTCAAAATAAATGTGGGAAATGTGGAGTTATTGGGTATTATGCGCTAACTTGTAGTAAATAGAGTATGGTAGAAAAATATCAGAAAAAAAATAAAAAGCAAAACAAGTAGTTAATAAAAGGTTTATGTTTTCATAATGAACTAACAATTTAATTATCTCATTCCTGGCTGTTTTGATAGCATTACTAACTTTTAAAAGAGAGACATGTATAATTATTCAAGTAAACAATAGTTTTTTATTAACGAAGATTATACTTATAATATTATTAGTATGTAGTGTTAGACCTAGAGATGGGTTTTATGCGTGCGCATGATTGCAGAATCATGCGCATTTTATCTCATTAAGATTTCTCTTCTCTTGATCGTTTTTTCTTTTTTTTTGCCTTTTTTTTATTATGCAATACGTATCATGAGCATGAAATATTTCGTGCGCATTCATGCGCATATTATTATAAAATGCGCATTTTTCCCATCACTTGTTAGACCCGATAACGTGATGTGAGTAAGATGTTGTGACATCACGTGAGAGCGGGTATGGCAATCAATTTCTTGATATGGGGGGATTTAATGGTGAAGGATTTAATAATTATAAGGCTTTATGCAGATAAATTGGAGGTATTGAATTAAATAAAGAAGAGGTAGAAATAGATTTTATGTAATTAAATAAGTCATAAGTAAAACTTTAATATAAATAAAGACCGAAATGGCCCTTAGAGACAATTATGTCTCGTTTGCTTTATTAAATAACAAGTCCCAATATATTGTATCATCCATAATCAAATGCTAACACTATTGCCATTATAAAACCCTGTAAACCCCTATAATCTTCATTGTTCGTTCAAGTTTTTGATCACGTGACATACTCTACTGACCTTCGTTGAACCCAAGTAACTGAAAGCCTTAATCACCCACCAGCCAAATCTAACACTCTTTCGAAAAGGTTACCTGTCGTATGTTACGCGAGATTTTGGATTATGGAGCGACTGAGTCACAGTTTTTCGAACCCAACAGTAGGTCTTTTGGTTCAATATATCTATTATGTCTAACCAATTAATCGAACTGTTGAGGGAAATTGAACAATAAATATGAAGGAAAGACCATGCTTATGTTATACATGTAGGAAGCTAGGATATTTAGCTTGTACTTTTCTAAATAAAATTTCATGTTGACCAGATATTAAAAGACCGTATTTATATTACATCAAGGCTATTTGGCTTGACCTTGTCTGTTGTGGTATTACCTGTGGATAATAGAAAAGAGAAGGATCAAAAAGGATACAGGAAAAGGAAAAAGGATACAGATTCGAGCAGTGAAGTCCGAGATATTCGATTACTTAGATTTGTGGATATGAAGGGTGATGGTACTAAGGGATACAAGAAAGTTAATCAAAGCAATAGTGAGTAGGCAAATCGAAGGCAAAACGTTAATTAATTAGACAGGAAAGCCCAAATATGACAATAAGTCGAAAATTAAAGACAAATCTGAATGTCTCACTGGTGAAGATGTAAAAGTAACGAATGTGATAATCAAGCATTGTACGAATCGAACAAACATAATAAAGATGCAAATAACTTGAAGAATATTGAAGATTGAATAATCCAGGTGATTGTTATCTAAATAGACCCGAGTTGAAAGGAATGAATACAAGGAATTCATTCATTATCAAAAATCTGTAGGCATGGTCAACATATATGTTTGACTACTGTTATGAAAATAGAGATGGAATTGAAAAGGTTAACACTTACTGTCAAAAATATAATCCAATGCCAGAAGTCATGTCAGTGGAACCGCTAATAAAAACTCTGAAATAATGATGCTAGTGAAATAATTTTACCTGCATCTCTAATCAAAAGTCATCTGATATAGATGCTACCATAATCTGACGAAGATGATCATAGAACATCCTAAGTTGGCCTTTGTCACTAAGATGGAATTGAAGGTGAAAATGATGAATGTCAAGCGTTCATTAGTTGTCAAAAACCTGCTAATTTAGATAATATCAATGAAACATTTTCATTGAATGTTGTCAGGATGAAACTGATGTTAAAAGAGGTGAGTATAAAGCACTCGCTCATTTTCAAAAACCCGCAAATATGAACTATATTGTTGAAACATATGATATGACCTTGAATTCCATTACTAAAATGTGATGAAACAAAGCACTCGAGTTTTGTTATCAACATGAATTAGAGTCGAAACGAACAAACATAAAACATTCATTAATTATCAAACAACCCGAGATGGAACTTACTGAAGAAACAGCGATTTCTATCATGCATTTGAAGTTGAAAGTTCCCAAACATCAAATGAAACAAAAAATCTTACCAGAACGTATTATAATGGTTATGTATCTGTTGGCAATTGTCATCAAAAAGGAGTAGGAGTTGAAATGGAAAGGTATAAAATATCTTGATTGCCAAAGATTTGCTGATAATGGCGATACATATGCTGCTAGAAGTCTTTATGAAAAGAGAATCAGAGTTGAGAAGGATGAAAAGATGACATATGAATGGTATTTAAAAAATGCTAAGGGTGAAAGCTTGAACAGACACAATAACCTTGGATTGTGTAGCCAAAATGGTATAAATACGGCTAAGGATAAAGGAACTTGAAACCTACTAAATGTAGTAGTCCTGAAAATTATCACCGAAAGGGTATAGTTGTTATATTTAAAGAGGATGAGGAAGTTCGTGCAATTGGTGAAAAGTCATCAGTGAAGATGGATTTGATGGTGAAGCAAAGCGGGAAGATCAATATGAGGGAGCAAGGATACAAGTCGGGAAAGATGATAACATGGTTGATTAAAGTAGTGACCAAGACGTGATGAGGAGAAAGAAGAGAGGGCCGTTAGTAAAAGCAATGGTGAAATGTATAGTATGAAAGAAAAATTTAAAACTTACCTATAATAGTATTGAAGCTTTTTTCTACTGTAGTAAAAAAGAAACTATAACTGATAATAAATTTTGATACATTGTTTTGCAATTTGATTGGCTAACTATACTCTGGTAACTATCACCGCTGATGACAAATAGATTTACTCTATAATTTTAAAACCTTAACTTTATCTTATAATTTTTTTTTCTAAACTTTTTTTCTCTTCTTCTAATTTATCAATTCTCTTATTTAACTTTTTTTTTTTTAAATTCAGCAGCCATGCCTTAACTTTATTCAAACAGTTTGCAAAACAAACTTTTACATTCAAATTTACATTCTCATATATCTAACTATTCAGCTGAAACTTACCTAGTTATCCAAATAGTACCTATATACAGTGTGCTATAGTTAGTCTTTTAAATTCACACTATTAGATTCAGTTACTCAAACTCTCCTGTGCTTCAGATGGTTCCAATAATCTAAAAAAAAAAAAAAAATTGTTACTATTTAAAAGCTCTAAAACTAACTAATAAAGAAAACTTTGTCTCAAGTTAAAAACTTTGTTAGGTAGTAACATAATAGAATAGGCTATATAAAAGAAGAAAAAAATGAAAAAAAACAAAGTGCTTTTTAACCTAAACTAGGTTTAAAAATATTAAGTCAGCAGACTTATAACCTATCTTAAATTATTCTCTCTCTAATATTATAATCCATTCTTATTGCCTTATAATAGTACATCAATAGCTATTTGCATCTTCTCATATACACATAGAACTAGTTTCAACAAAACAAGCAAAACAAAATATATATTTCTATATGTTTGTTTTCTGTTTTGTTTATTCCTATAATCATGCACCTAACAGAGTATATCTAAAAATAGATATAATAAATAATGCTTATTTTTTGTAAGAGAGAACCTAAATTCCTCACTTTTTCAATATAGATGAAAGACTAGTGAAAAAAAGCTTGTAGTATATAGTTGTTTTCTAAAACTTTAAAGAGTATGTAGTCAAAATATTTGGTTGTTCTTCTGCTTTTTAAACCTTTTTTTACTAACTTCATCGACAAAGAGCTTTGTCCTAAAAGTTCTTTACCAAAATTTTTTATATAAAGGCTTTGCCTTCTGCTAGTTATCTTATATAATATCATTTTTAGCTTGCATGCTGAATATACAAAGAAGTCTCTAAGGAGAAGTAGAACCCTAGTTGACCTTTGTAAAAACTATTGTTGTAAAAGAGTCTTCTTTATCATACTTCAACAAAATTTTTGTTTTTTGCTTTTTCAGTTTTTTGAGAAAAAAGATCATCAGAAAGAGTAGTGTAAATTTTTTGTCAACTTCTTTTTCTTATCTTCTTTAAATATTATTATATCATTATAATATTTGTATATTTGATTATACTTATTCTCTTTTTTCTTAAACTTATTCTTATACTCTACTATCTTCTTAAAAATATCTTCAATATTATACTTATCTAAAAACTTCTTTTAATTTTTTAACTCTTTATTCTTCTCTTTTAATTTTTTTTTTTTCTTATTATTAAATTCTTATACCTCTTAAATTTCTTATCTACAAACTCTAACTGATCTCTTTTCATCTCATATTTTTTTTTATAATTATTTATCATCTCATATACCTCATCTACCTTATAGTACTTCAAAAACTTTTTATACTCTAATTTTTTCTCTTTAAATACTCTTATATCTTTTTATAATCTCTCGCTTGCTCAAACAAAACTTCTTTTTTCTTCTCTTTTTCTTTTTTAAATCTCCCTTCTTCAACTTTTTACTTTTCTCTTTCTTTTAAATTTCTTATTCTCTGTTTTAACTTCGCAATTTTCTTCTTTCTTTCTTTAAACTTCTTCTCTATTAATATACTTATTTCTTTTTTCTTTCTTTCCTTCCTAACTTTATATATTTATATTTTTATTTTAGTATATTTTTATTTTTATTTATACTTTATTATATTATTATTATTATTATTATTTCTTACTTCTTCTTATATCTATTTCTATATAGTAACCTCTTCTTTTTGTATTAGTCTCTATATTTTTTTGTTATTTTTGTTGTTAGCAAAACTTTAATTTTTAAAATAATTTAAAATAAATATACTTTAAATTTCTTCTTAAATTAATCAAATCTTAATTTCAAACACATGTAATTCTTTGTTTTTATTAGCTACTTGTCAATAAAATTAGATATTTTTAAGGAATACATATAAAATTTTTATTATCTGTTTGTTTTAGTAAAATTGAATTTGTGATTATAAGGCTACTAGTCATAAGTTCAATACCTGCTAGTTAATAGTTAATCTGTTAATGAGTTATAGTAATAGACTAATATTAAGTAGAATTTCTTTTTACTTAGTTGCTTTAATTATTTTATATATTATTTATTGAATTTAAGAAAATTGATAAGGTCTGGTGATCTTAGTGTAGTAGTTAGGTTGCCAGACTGCTATGCAAAAGGTTTAGAGTTCAAATCTCACTATCGACAGAATTGAATAATTACTTAGATATCTATATCCAACTTATAGTAAACTCTGCTCATTTCTGGAGTAATAACTCTGTAAATTATGTTGTACCAATGCCAATCAGGGTGTTAGAAGTATGATAGGGCATTTGGAAGAGCATAATATTATATGAATAAATCTTGATAGGATCTACAGGCAGAGAACTTGCATGTTAGAAATCCTAAGTTAGATGAAGTAGTATGGATTTCAATAGTTATACTAGTTAATGTCTGATCTCGAAAAAGAAATCTATGTATGAAAAGATCAGTGAAATAGATATGAGTAAGTTTTGTGTACAGAAGAATTGATGAAACAAGTGCGAGTAAGTCTATTATATGAGGTCATACAGCAACACTAACTTGGCATAGCAGCTAACTAGATTTGGGAGGATCTGTCTCATGTGATATCTGGTAACAAAACAGGCAATACCAAGTAACAGATTTGTGAAGATCTATTTCATGTAATATCTGAAGGTACAGATGACTAACTTAGTGGAAGGCTACAGTAAGAACCAGGTTTGTATGAACATTGAACAAGAGTATATACAAGCTAGATTAGGATATAGCATAGCATAGTTGGGTACTACAGCATCCATCGATTAGGAAGTTGGTGAAGGGGTACCTAAGATAGGCCTAGGCTTCGAATTATAAAGTTTGTGAATTCATATCAGCTCTGTTGATATTTTCTGAAAATAGAAGTAGTACAGGTTTAGGTGAATTTAGGTAATAAATGATAGCGGGATAGGAATAGCATGTAGCCAAAGAGTTTAAATAGAGAATTTTCAAATAAATTTTAGGTATAGCAGCTAGTGTAAAACCTTCAGGCAGACTACTTAAATTAGACAATCTAAAGTTATATATGTGGCTAGTTGTACTCTCACATATGTAATCATTATTCAAAACTATCTATACCAATAAAAATCTTGCCGATAGCATGTTTATCAAATAAAAAAAAAAAAAAAAAAAAAGAAAATTGATAATATTTATCTATTTCTGAAAAATAGTAATCAAATATCATAAACATTTTCTTTTAATTTTAGTTATGTAAAATTTTCAAATTCTGTTGAATAATTTCAACTAAAATTTAATATTTAGAATTAGATAATTTTTATTTTTTTTAGTTATAAATTTTATAGTTTATCTTTAATATTTATAGAATAAATTTTTTAAAAAGATAGAAATTATCAAATGAACTTTAATATATTTTTTTAATTAATTATTATTATATTATTTTAGATATTTAGATTTATATATTAGTATTTCTTTTAAATTCTTAATAGTTTTTTTTTTTTTTTTTTTTTTTTTTTTTTAAAGAGTGAGACCTTGTCTTTGTTATTTATTAAATAAATTATATAGGCATATGTATATATAGAATTACAAAAAAATCAGCTAAAAACAGGAAGCTAGAACTAGTTTACCCTTGACCTAGACTTTGCTAGAGAAGGTCAGGCCTCAACTAGTCTCTGTAACAAAGTATGATATCAGAAGATTGATTTGCAAAAGAAAAATAACTAAACTAGTATTTTATTCTGTTATTAGTTTTAATATTTTTGGGTATAGATATTGTAGAGATTATAGAGTTAATATGAAGGTTAGAAGTAAAAAAAAAGGTATTTGTAGAGGTAGATATATTCGAATTAGAGCTTTGGCATCTAGAGATCTATATATCCTTGTAAACCCTCTTGAATATTATGTGGAGGAGAAGACATACTACTAAGTATTTTTTGATATAGCGAAAGATATTTGCATACAGATAGTTTGAAATATAGCCTTGAATTATATGTAGAGTAGAATTGGTAAGAGAGGTAAGCAGATAAATTTAGTTGTAGATAATTATATCAGAAATTTCTTGAATTAATAAGGATAAAAAGTAGTGATATTAGGAAAGAACTTCATTTATTATATTCTGTATAATTGAGTTAATAGAAGTTTGGTTGAAAGGACATTGCCACCAGTATGCATTGTCTTCAATACTTGTATTGCATCTTGTATAGTATGGGTTAAGGTATTTTTGATTATTTCTTTTGTATAAATTTAGTCTTATTGAAAGTTCATCCAAAAGGAATTTCACTTTGAAAGCTTTAATTTATATATGTTTGAAATGTGTTTGTCTTAAGTTAGGTAAGTTATTAAAGTTAAAAAACTCGAACAGAATATTCTAGTTAATAGCATATTATATAAAGTTAATTGATTTTATCCTAGTTTTTAAACACTAATTTGATAAGTTATAGGCATTATTAAGATATTGAATAAATCTGCATAGTTAGTGTTAGATGATATTGTTTTGCTAAGTAAAGTAGTATGTATCTTGTCTAATAAGATTGTAAAAAATGTTAATCAAATAAAGAATAGAGATATTAATTAGAGTTGAAGGAGCTGAAGTAGTAAAATAAATTTGTTGATTTTTCTGAGCTATAATAGTAATAATTGCGATCCAAGCTG